GACGATGATGATGATGATGATGACGATGATGATGATGATGATGCTGATGCTGATGCTGATGATGATGATGATGCTGATGCTGATGCTGATGCTGATGCTGATGATGATGATGATGATGATGAGGATGAGGATGATGATGATGATGATCATGATGATGGTGGTGGTGGTGGTGATGATGATGATGATGATGGTGGTGGTGGTGGTGGTGATGATGATGCTGATGCTGATGATGATGATTATGATGATGATGATGATGATGATGATGATGCTGATGATGATGATGATGATGATGATGATGATGATGATGATGACGATGATGACGACGATGATGACGACGATGATGAGGTGCCTGTGCAGCGCGGCGGCACGCGGCAAGATTTGGGCCTCGGCGGGCCCACCGCGGCGGCCCGGAGAGCGCCCGCGAGCGCCCGCGAGGCGCCCAGGGCCGGGCCCCCGGGGAGGCCTCGGCGGGCCCACCCCGGGCACGGGGCGCCCACGGGCGGCCGCGGGCGCTCACGGGCGTGGCGGAATGACCTCGGCGGACCTTCGTTGCGCCAATCGGCAGGGACTGCTGCGAAGCCTCAATGCGTATACAGTCTAGACGCCTGAGGTCGGTCTGCTACCAGAGCTGCAGCCACGTGATTATTTGTTGTCTTCCTCCTTCCCCCCTTTCTTCCTTCTCCTCCTCCTTCTCCTCCCAGCCCTCCTCGTTCTCCTCCTTCTCCTCCCTCGATGCGCACGTTTCGATACGCAGCACGTCCCGTGCTCAAAGCGTCCGTGTCAATGCGCTGCGCGTTGGCTCCACGTGTTGGACCACGTTTTGGCGCATGCATCGCGTCGGACCTGCGTGTGCAGCCTGCGTGTTGAGCTCCGTATCAGTACGCTACGCGTTGCGTGTTGCGCATCGGGGCAGCTAAGCGGCGGACCCGTCCATGCGTTGAAACCAAACAAGTAAAGAACCACTAAGTGCAAGCACCTCTTGGGGAGCAAGCTTTTGGAGGTCTGCGAGGATCTCTGTGGATCTGCGTTGGGCCCCTCGGCGGCGCCTCCGGCGCCGTCCCTGGCGCGCGGAGCGCGCCAGGGAGGGTTGGGGGGTCCAGCGCCGATCCAACAGATTCGAGCGGACATCCGACAGTGAATGCGTACGTAGATGCGTGCTTTCCTAGACGCGGTGTACACTGTGCATCACGCAAGCAGCAAGGCATGGCCGCAATCACGTGCTCACGCATAGGTGGCATTCAGTAGTGTCCAGTATGCTGGGTCACGAGGGGTTCAACATTCAACATGTTGACAGCAAAACATGCAAGTGCATCAACCACTACCGAGCCAAACTACACTCAGCCCTATTTTCCGTTTTGAATCACAAGCAAGTCGCCGAGCTAATCCAGAGAGGAGTACCCCCCAAGGAAATTGCATCGATACACTTCTCAGGGCCTAAGAACAAAGTATGGTCCGTCGCGGGATTGGTCAGCACGAATACCACTAAAGGCAACAACGACATCAACGAAGAAACGAACAACCTCAATTTTTTTCAAAACGATTCGCTTTCACCACACACCCACAGCTTCTGTGCGATAGCCGGCGATGCAAGAGCCAAGACTTTCCCAGGAGGGTCGGAGACCCAAAGGGAGCCCGACGAGGGCCCGAGGGCCCGCACACCCGAAACAAGTGTCCGCATATTCGAAGACGTTCTGGCGCCATTGCGATAACTTGTCGGATCGGGAGCGTCTTGAGTGGCTCTTAGGGGTATGCCGTCTGGGGGCAACTCCAGACCCTCTCTGGCCGTATTGGGAGCACCGTGTGAGTCGTGGCCTGGACGCGTGGCAAGCGGAGCCCGCTCTTCTAGGGAGGCGCGGGGCAGGAAGGTGTGGGACGTGGCGGGAGGCGGCGCGCAGAGCGCAAGAGTGGCCACGCAACGCGACGAAAGTTCGACCATCATAGTTCGGCGTCGCCCGAGCACTGCTTTCTGTCCTTTGTCAGGTGGGGGCGATGGCGGACCTGATGCAAGAGGATGCGGATGCCGAGAAACGGAGACTGTGATTCTGGTGTCTCACAGCAGACCTCACAATTCCAAGGTTTCCGACCTGCCCCGACCGTGAGCACGGCATACGTGTCTGCAGCAATGCGTGCAGGAAGGGTCAGTTGTGAAGCACTTGCGTCCGAAGTGTCCATATCTCGACACCGAAGGACGGCGAGCCATCCTCGTTGGAGGCCGCGCGGAAATTCAGCCAAGATCACGACATCCCGTTTGTCACGGCCGACCAGCTGAGGTCGTTCAGATGTCGCAGCGAGGGGTCGGTCGGGGTGCGCGACCATGCCCCCCCCACGCTGGACGCGGAGAGCCAGATGTGGATCGAGGACGTGGAGGCCGACTGCTCCATCAAGTTTTACAGCACGAGCTCGAACATAGAAATCGTTGCGATAGTGAAGGGCGACCTCAAGGGGCAGGACCCGGCAGCTACTTTGGCAAATCAGCTCCCACTCGCTCAGAACTATTTTGGTGCCTGCATGCATGCCGTGCTTCGTCTACCTTCAAGCGACTTCTGGGAAACACTCCTCCTCTTCGAGCTTCGAGTTGTAGTCGGTTCTGACTGCGTGAGCCTGACGCCTTCGAACCCTTCTTCCCCGGCCTTCGTCAGGGAAGGGGGGCGGAAAATCATTCTCGTTCAAAAGAACTCTGAGAAAGAATTGGAAGAGACTCCTCTTCCTTCTCCTCCTCCCCCAGCTGGACTGCAATCGATTCTCCCAGGACGGGGTACCGGCCCGTGTTCACTCGGAGTGCTTCACGGGCGACGTGATAGGGTCCAAGCGGTGCGATTGCGGGCAGCAGCTGCACAATTTCCTCCGGATCATGAACACAGAGCCTTGCGGGGTCCAGGGATCGTGAAGGGATGAGGGTGGGAGGAGGAGGAGGAGGAGGACCAGTGTAAACCCAAGACGCATCAACGATGTTGCAATACACCCTCCTGGAAGTGCCCTTAGCGGGAACCGTCTGAGAATCCTCAGTCGTCCCGAAACACCATGATTGCGACTTCAGGACCGCGAATCAACGCTCCTGTCGCGTCCTCACAATCCGAAACCGCGCCAGAGCACAACTCCCGGAACTCCAACACTGCGAATCGGCTCTATTGTTGCGTCCTGACAATCCTGCATCGAGCCAGGATGCCATTCCTGGGACTTCAGATGTCAAACTTACGAAGCCTTCAAACTGTTCACAGCTTTCAAGACGCATTGCGCGCGGCGCTAGCGCGAGAGCCGCATTTTGAGAAGGAGCCGCCCTCCATCCTTGAAACTGCGGCAAGCAATCAAAAATTAACGTGCGCGGTGCCATGGCGAGAGCCGCATTTTGAAAACGAACAGCCCTCCATCTTTGAAGCTGCTGCAGACGTTGAAAACGAATGTGCGCGGCTCTACCGGTGAGGCGAGAGCCACATGCTGAAAACGGTTCGCCCTCCATCCGTGAAGTTGCTGCACACTTTCAAGACGATGTGCGCGGCGCTAAAGCGAGAGCCACATTAAAAAAACATCCGCCCCCGTTCCGTGAACCTGTTGCAAATTTCAAGCTTCAGGAACTCAAATGGGTGGGATGTCCCAGGCAGGGAGGAGTTGTTTAATAGGAAAAGGGATGGAGGAGTAAGAGGAGGAGGAGGAGACGACGACGAGCCTCCTCATCCGTGAGATTGGGTTCGTGGGTCGTTTCCTTTATTCACCCGAGCGTGTTGTTGCTCCACCGTGCCACGTTCAGTAAGACAATATGTTGTGAATTTGAGATGTCGTCCGGTGATTACGTTGAAACAGAAACTGCATGTAAGAGTATGCCAAGATGCGGCAATATGTTTTGATGTGGCTAATCGTTGTAAGCAACGACGCGCTGCAAGTTCAGCTGATTCCCTTGGGGCTGCTGGATCAGGGCCACTGTCATCAGACTCGGCATGGGCCAGTGATCAACCAACAGCTACAAAAAGGCAGCATCTTCGTATTTTGCCGCACAGACAACAGGGTAATCATCTGAAGCGTAATCATGGTCATCTCGGCACTTCTTGATGGAAGCGCTGTATTGGGAATCCCCTCCCGAGGTAATGATTAATGGCGCGCCCTCATGTTCTGTCGAAGCGAAGGAGACGACCAGCGGCTTCCCCACGATTGGCCACACTGATGATTCCTCATACAATATCTCCTCCTCCTACCCCCGAGGCTGAGTTTTTCCACAACGTGGACCTCCAGAGGTCCCGGCCCCTCCCCGGGGACCGGCTTCTCATCCTGACTAGATGTTTAGCAGTCCCAGTGCCAGGCGAGAGCCCCTGGAGGCCGAACATTTGCCAAAACCTTCCGTCGTGGTTTTTGTCAACGATGTTCTCGATCGCTCCCCCTCCTCCTCCTCCTCCTCCTCCTTCTCCTTCTCCTTCTCCTTCTCCCTCTCCTAGCCTCCTCCTAGCCTCCCCCTGGCCTTCTCCGAGCCTCCTCCTAGCCTCCTTCAAGCCCTCCTTCAATCCCTCCTTCTTCACATCCTCCTCTTCCTCCTGCTCCACTGCAGCCCTCGCCTGGCCGCCACAACACGCGGCCGGCCGAGGTGCTGCTTTACATCCGCGGGCACGAGGGCCGGGGGATAGGGCTGGCGAACAAGATCCGGGCGTACCACCTGCAGGACTGGGCAGGGAGTGCAGGGGGGGAGGAGTGAGCGACGACTGTCGTGAAGCGAGCTCGGGATAACTTACACCCCCCGCCGAGCCAACTCTGCCCGACCTCCAACCTTCGGCCACCTGCCGGGTGGGGTCCAGTACCCTGACCCTGTGACATGATGTATTGCTTCAGGCTCGCAAATACTTGAACAGCAAAGTGCCCACATTGACAGCAAAATTGAACAAGGGGCGGGGGGAGGTAGGAGGAGGATGAGAAGGGTGAGGAGGAGGAGGAGGAGAAGGAGAAGGAGGAGGAGGAGGAGGAACAGGAGGAGGTGCAGGAGACGGCGGAGGCTGATGGCGACGAGAAGAGGAGGAAGTGAGGAGAGGGGAGGAATGGAGAAGGAGGAGGGGGATGATAATATGAAGAGGGCGGAGGTGGACGCGGAGAAGCGGCGAAGAGAACTACGAGTGGCAGAGTGAGTACCGAATAGAGTCATCTGCGCACAGGACCAAGGGGTCGACACTGTCGATGCCAACTTGCAGCTCGGGCTTCCGGTGGACACCCGAACCTATGACGACTCGTTGTTTGTGCTCCAAGACCTTGGACTAAGGAGACTCCGCCCGGGGTGGCCTTTTCTTACCCCCATCCTACCCCTCCTAGTCCTTCTTCATTCTCCTCCTTGATTATTCTTCATCCCTCCTCCTAATAATCCTCATTATTATTATTTTTCCGGAGCAGTACGTAATTATACATTGCCATCCCGCCAGCAGATTGAGCTTCAGAATTGAGCTCCCGCTTCGCAAGTGCGCAGCGCACGCTGTTTTCTACTCGCCAATTCGTCGACCCGCGCGCGAATGAAAATGTTGTCCTCGCTTCGGTGCCGCGCAGGTTTCGCCTGAGCATGGCGCTCCCGCTCAAGTTCTGCAATTTTTTCGCCTAGAAGTGGCGTTCCCGGCATCATGTTTGCACCCGTCGGAGTGCATGAAAGCGGCAGCGGCAACGGGGCCGAGCGAGAGCGAGGGAAATGCTGTCCTCGCCCAAGCGCCGCCACGCAGTGTGCATAAAGATTGCAGTTTGGTTTCGGCACAAGTTCCGTCTTCGCCGCACCCATCTGAAATTTAGCCGCCCGCGAAAGGGCATCATTGTGTTCTCACCGCGGAGGCGGCACGAGTTTCTTCTGAAGCTCCGCTCCCGCACGTGCGGCGCCTGGGCGCGTTCCCTCGCCGAGTCGTCGGAAGCGGGGCCGCGCGCGAGCTCTTTTCGTTCGCTGGGTGGTAACACGATCCAGCCCCAAAGCGTTGTGGACTGTTACGGTGTGGGGGGGGGAGGGGGAGGGGGAGAGATAGGCGGGGCCCGCTGGCTCGCTCGGCCCGGCGAAGTCCATATTTGATTCCTGGCGGAGCCGGGTGAGATCCCGTGCCCTCCGCTGAATGACTGACCGACTGAGCTGAACTTCACTGGCCTGCACTGAACTGACTGAGCTTCAGGAGCGACAAAAGGACGTACACGTACATGAATCCACGCTGCTTTCGAGAGTACGCATTGCGCAGATGTTCGTAGAACGCGGCCCGTCTCGCGGATCGAGGGGCCGTGTTCATGTACATAGCTGGGCGCGTAGGTCCTTTGTGGGCTCCCTAGAACTGGAGTGGCGCTCTTGACAACACGCTTCAAACCGCCCGGGCAACCAGGCGGCACGTTTCAACCCGACCGCGGGCGCAACCGCAACCGCAACCAGGCGACACGGTTCAAACCGCCCGCGAGCGCAACCGCAACCGCAAGCAGGAGACTGATTTTCACCCGCCCGCGGGCGCAACCGCAACCGCAACCGCAACCAGGCGACACATTTCAACCCGCCCGCGGGCGCGACCGCAACCACAACCGCAACCAGGCGACACATTTCAACTTGCCCGCGGTCGCATCCGCAAGCGCAACCGCAACCAGGCGACTCATTTCAACCCGCCCGCGGTCGCAACCGTAACCGCAACCAGGCAGCACGTTTCAATCCGCCCGCGGGCGCAACCGCAACCGCAACCGCAACAAAGCAACACATTTCAACCCGCCCGCGGGCGAAATCGCAAGTGCATTGCAACCCGCCCGCGGGCGTAACCGCAACCGCAACTGCAACCAGGCGACACATCAACCCGCCCGCGGGCGCAACCGCAACCACAATCGCAATCAAGCGACACATTTCAACCTGCCCGCGGTCGGAACCGCAAGCGCAACCGCAACCAGCTGACTCATTTCAACCCGCCCGCGGGCGCAACCGCAACCGCAACCAGGCGACACATTTCAACCCGCCCGCGGGCGCAACCGCAACCGCAACCAGACGACACATTTCAACCCACCCGCGGGCGCAACCGCAGCCACAACCGCAACCAGGCAACACATTTCATCACCATTGCCGTCATCATCGTCAGCATGGTCAGCATCATCATCACGATCGCCATCAGCATCGTCATCATTATCACCATCGTCATCACAATCGCCCTCACCATCCCCAGCAGCATTACCACCATCATCATCAACACTGCCATCACCACCATCATCAGCAGCAGCATCATCATAACCATCGTCGTCGTCACCAGCATCACCTCACCATCCTCACCCACATCACCACTATTACCATTGTCATGTCCACCATCTCAAACACCACCATCAGCAGCATGAGCATCGACATCATCAGCATCATCAGCATCATCACCGCCATTTCCATTACTACTACCACCATGATCATCAGCATCATGAATATCATCACCAGCACCAATAACGTCATCATCAACATCACCCGCATCACCGCCATCACCAGTTGCATCGGCATCAGGAACAGCACGATCACCATCATCAGTCAAACTTCGGTGCGCGCCTCCTACGTTCCGTGGCCGCATAGAGAGCTCCACCGAAAACCACAGTGGGAGTGTTCGCATGGCGCCGCGGCGCCCATTTTGGGTGCGCATGGTGCCGCCGCCGCCGCGCACCCCATAGGGAGCTCCACCGAAGGCCCTGGCGGGAGGGTTTGCATGGCGCCGCCGCGCTCATTTCGGCTCGCCCCTCATTCCCGTCGTGGCCCCACAGGGAGTCCCATCGAGGACCCCAGTGGGAGGATTCGCATGGCGCCGCCGCACCCATTTCGGAGCACCCCTCACGAGCGTCGTGGCCGCACAGGGAGCTCAGTGAAAGGGTGCACATGGCGCTGCCGCGCAAATTTTGGCACACCCCTCAGACGTTTCGAGGTCCCATAACGAGCTCCACCGAAGGCCCAGTGGGAGGGTTCGCATGGCGCCGCCTCATCCATTTCAGCACACCCCGCATACGCTTCTGCCCTATAGGGAGCTCCACCGAAGGCCCTGGCGGGAGGGTTTGCATGGCGCCGCCGCGCCCATTTCGGCTCGCCCCTCATTCCCGTCGTGGCCCCACAGGGAGTCCCATCGAAGGCCCCAGTGGGAGGGTTCGCATGGCGCCGCCGCACCCATTTCGGAGCACCTCTCACGCGCGTCGTGGCCGCACAGGGAGCTCAGTGAGAGGGTGCACATGGCGCTGCCGCGCAAATTTTGGCACACCACTCGCACGCTGCTGCCCCATGGCGAGCTCCACCGAAGGCCACGGTGGGAGGGTTCGCATGGCGACGACGCCGCACCCAATCCAGCATACCCCTCACACGTTTCGTAGCCCCATAAGGAGCTCCACCGAAAGCCACAGTGGGAGGGTTCGCACACTTATATTTTTCGTGGCCCCGCAGGGAGTTCCACCAACAGCCCCAGTGGGACGGTTCGCATGGCGCCGCCGCGCCCGTTTCGGCACGCCTTTACGCGTTTCGTGGCCCGCCTCTTTTGTCTCACCGGCCTCGCGATACCCGCGGCTGCATATTGTTGGATCCTTCGCCAGGAATGTTGGCAGGGATGGTGGCCCTGAGCAGAGCAGGCCATCTGCTGGCACGCCCACCCAACCTTCGGCAAGTGCGACTACCGCAGGGCAGGTGGAGCGAAAGTGGGATGACGAAGCGTGCGAGGGGTGTGCCGAAACGAGGCGGCGGAGGAGAAGCAGGAGGAGGAGGAGGAAGAGGAGGATGAGGAGGAGGAGGAGGAGGAGGAGGAGGAGGAGGGGGAGGAGGAGGAGGAGGACGAGGAGGGGGACGAGGAGGGGGAGGAGGAGGAGGAGGAGGAGGAGGAGGAGGAGGAGGAGGAGGAGGAGGAGGCGAGCCCTGGAGTTGGGCCATCAGCTGGAGCTCACTGATGTGGGGCCACGAAGCGTGCGAGGGGTTGGCAGGCACGAGGCGGCGAGGCCATGCGAACCCCGGCATCGGGGCCTCAGCTGTAGCTCCCGATGGGGCCACGAAGCGCGTGAGGGGTGTGCCGAGGTGGTCATGCGGCCGGCAGAGAGCAGATGGTAATCCAAACCTTTCCTCTCCCAAACCACGTACTGCAATAGCACTCGAGAGTAATAAGATGCGGATGTTATCTCCGAGGCAAGCTACGGGTTCGAGGAGTGCGTCCACCCTCTCGCCACAGCTTGCAGCATTGAGCCAAGCAGTTAGCGGCGAGAGGGGTGCTGCAAGCACGAGCGAGCGAGCGAGAGCAGCAGCAGAGATAATGTCACTACTGCCTTACAAGTCATATATCTGCCCGTGCGTATTTCACACCAGAAAATAAATCGTTGCTAAAGATCGCAAATCAATTCGATTGCAAGTTTTTATGATATTCGTGTTCGGCTCGACTGGTCAAACCACCGTCCGAGTACCGAGCAACATATCTTAAGATACCACTATTTATCTGAGCTGTGAAGGAGCGCTTGCCTTCACATCTGCAACCATCTCTCTCCGAGCCACTGCCACCGCTGGCTCAAGGGAACTTCTCCTTTCATTTGGTAGAGGATCTCAGCCTTTATGAGCTGACCTGATGATGTAGTCGGCCACGTAGGTCTGGATGTTTGGGTCGGGATTGTGGTACCGGCTCTCGTCGGCGTCCAGCTTAGGACACCTTCCGAAGCAATTTGCGCCATGCTTGTCCTTCTGGAATCTGTCAGAAAACTGGTCTCCCTCGTATTTGCCACTTTTGATGCGTGCCGTGCCCGTCGTGATTGGCCACTGCCTCAGAAGTGTGCTGTCTCCCAAGAATAATGGTCCCTCTCCTTTGATCCCGTCGCGGTAGGGTACAATCTCCATGGGCTCTTCCCTTCTTGCGTAGGGTAACCTTGAGCATCTCCACCACTTTCATCTTCCTAAAGGTCGGACTCTTGACGCTCCCTCTGGAGCAGGTTGTCGTTGCTCGAATTGTCCACCTCCAGTGGCACTGACATGCCAAGGTTCTCGTCGCTATCGCTCTGTTGAGGTTGCACTATGTAGACACATGATAACAGCCGCGATGATAGAGACTACTGTCACCACCGTAGGAGTCATCGAAAGACAAACTTCATACACTGCGAGCGCACGGACTGGAAACATAACTGCAGTTTGGTCCGGTGTCTGGATAGTCCACTGCGCGCCACTCCTCTTCATCGGGTAGTTGTCCGTCGCATCGTCCATGTAGAATGCTTCGATGTCTTCAGCTTCATCCTGAGCCTCGTCCTTCTCGTCGTGGAAGCATTCGCCCACGCAGTTGTACTCATCCACCCGCCATGTCGAAACCTAGTCTTTGTTGCTTTCGGTGTCGTCGTACAGCTCTTGCTTGACGTACGTTGTCATATTCGCGTTTAGCTCGTCGACCTCCTGGTCAGCTGCCACCTTCTCTGGTGCAACTAGCTGTCGTCCGCGTATCGATGGTGCCTTGTTCTCAGGACCAAGAGTCCACACATTTGATATCACGATCTTCCTCGCGTAGCCTCCTGGAAGCGCTTTTGTCAAACAGTCCGACAGCATCTGCTCGCTCTTGACCCACTTGATGCTTGGCCCTTCAAACTTCTGGCGCAGCATGGCCGCTTTGAAAGATAATCTCCTATATGTAATGGAAATCTTCTCCTTCGTGATCGTGTCGTAGAGGTTCTTCCAGTCGGTCACTGAAGTGCATGTCTCCGGGCAGGTGTCATGCACAATCTCGGTAGCGCCACCTTTGAGTACAGGAACTCCGCTAGGGTATACCTCGTCCAAGTCATAATGTCCACTGAAATTGCGCATGAGTGCGCCTCCGCCGATAGAGTAGATCGCACCACTCGCTGAATCTTTGAAGACTGCCATCCAACGCAGTGTACCTTGTACTTGTTGTCGTGGTCCTCGCCGATCATCTGGTCGCCCAGCATGATGAAGCGTCTACGTTGTGACCTGTGCTTCGGCGGGTTCTCGTAAGCGCCGTCCGTCACATCGATCACCATGGCCTCCCACAGGTTGAGGCCAGCCTTGTCCGCTTCTGGATCCCCCTGATTGCTGCTTTGCCATCCTGTAGGTCCTTCACCGTGGGAGCTCCAAGCGCAGATGCCAATCGAGATGCTTCGAACGCCTCCTCGAAGCAAATGATTCGCGCAGCCCACTGCAATTGTCCAACTACCACTCGTTGTCCACGATGTTCGGCAGGGGTTGGTGCATTGTCAGGTGCGTTGCTGCGCTCCAGGAAAACGCGCGCACTGTCTGCGTCGTCTTCGCGTCATCCTCCATGGTGACGTTGATGCCGCCGCTCTTCTCCTGCTGGTAGGCTCGGCCACAGAACGTCGCCTTCTCCGTCCTCGCGTACTTGACCTCGCCAAAGTCGATATCCTTCTGCCGATCCTGCATGATCTTGGTGCCCTCCTGGTCGTCCTGCTAGACGCCCGCGAAGTAGTCGTCCACGTGTAGGCACATGATCCCGATGATCGCGCCCTGCTTATTTCGCTTGATGAAGGGCGCCGGCTCGAATCTCAGACCTTCCCAGCCAAGCTTCACAAGCGTCTCGCGTGGAGCCGCGTGCCATGCTCTTGCCGCGTCTTTGGTCCCGTAGGTGATCTTGTTCAGCCTCGGCAGGTCGTCTGCCGGCACGCCCGGGACGATGCGCTTCCCGAGGTTCGTTGGGGTCCGAAAGTAGAGCTCGCGCGCGATGGCCTTGCCCTGCAGAGAGGCCCCCTTCGCGTCCGCGACGACTGGGTCCAAGTAGAGGCTTGACGCGATGCTGCCCCACGTGGCCCACCGGCTGCTCGAGGATGGCGCCTCTGACCGCGCTGCGATCCTGGCCCTGTTGGGTGGAGTTGTGAGCGCCCTGGAGGTGCTGCTGGAGGGCGACCGCCGCGCTCGCAGCGTCGGCGCCGACGGGGGGGGGGCGGGGGCGACGTCGGCGAGCTTCGTCCGAGCAGCCTCCGCGTTGGACTCCGCCAGCTGCTGCTTGACGACGTTGAGCTTCTCTGGGGCCGACTGGAGCTGCTCGGTGAGCTGATCCACCTCCGCCTGAAGCTTGGACCGCTCTGCCTCGCGAGTGGCCTGCCGATCCAGGGCCGAGCGCAGCGCGTCCGCGGGCGACATTGTGGCGCGCTCTGCCGCCTCGGCTCGGGCAAGCTCCGCCCTGGCCGCCAACGCGAGCTGGCGCTTGTCATCATAGATGCTCCGCAGCGCCTTGAGCGCCTCTCTGCACTTCGCCACGGTGTTGGACTCCACGCCGCTGGACCCATCCACGGGCGCGCAATCCTAACTCGCGCCGCCACGAGCAGCATGATCATGGCCAGCACTTGCAGAGCGGGGCCTGCCTGCCGAGCGCGGCCTGGCTGGCTGGCGGGCACCCTTCGCGCCCGTGGGCCTGCCTTGGCGGTCCCTGCCGCAGGCCCAGCGAAGTTGTTGGCGAACCCGCGTGCCCTCGAAGTTGTTGGCGAACCCGCGGCCTTGACTCGCGGCCCTCGAAGTTGTTGGCGAACCCGCGTGCCCGCGTGGCCACGCAGCACGCCCGGGCGGCATCTCCATTGGGGCGGGGCTGCGCAGCTCGACTCGGGGGCGCCCCGCGCTGCAGGGCCCCCAGAGATGGCCCCGCCGCGGTGGCCAGCGAGAGTCCTGCGGGCCTCCGCCACGCGGGGGACCTGGCGGGCCGAGGCTCTCCTCCTCCTCCTCCTCCTCCTCCTTCTCCTCCTCCTCCTCCTCCTCCTCCTCCTCCTCCTCCTCCTCCTCCCTCCTCCTGCTGCTCCTCCTCCTCCTCCTCCCTCCTCCTGCTGCTCCTCCTCCTCCTCCTCCGCCTGTGCTGGGCTGGCGACGGCGAGCGGCGGGGCAGTGGGCCCGCCGTCTCCTGGATGCACCGGCGCCCGCTTGGGCCGCAGGCCGCCTGCGGCTGGAGCCGTCGGGCGCGCCCGCCGCGCGCCCCCGCGCGCGTGGGAGGAGCCCAGACGGCGCCGTCCACAGGCATCTGGAAGAATCTGGAGGAGTTTTGGGGAACCTGGAGAAGTCCCTGAGAATCCGCGGGAATCTAGAGGAATCCTGAGAAATCTGGGACATCTGGAGCATTCCAGGGGGATCCTGAGGAAACCGGAGAAACCCTGGCACAGTTCATTTGGAAGAGCCTGGGTGAGTTTTGAATGTTCTGGAGAAGTCATAAGGAATACGAAGGAATCTGGAGAACCCCATGGGAATCTGGAAAATCCTGAGCACTCTTGAGGAATCCGGAGGAATCCAGAGAAATCCGAAAGAATTTCTTGGGAATTGGAGGAGCCGGAAGAATCTGCAGGGATCAGAAGGACTTCTGAGGAACCGGAGGAATCTACAGGAATCCAGAGGGATTCAAAGAAATCGCAAGGAATCCTGAACAAATCAGCAGGAATTTCGAGGAACCCAAACAAGAACCCAGAAGAACCCTGGGGAAACAAACGGAGACCAATAGAATCTGGGAGAATTTGAAGGCACACCAAGGAATCCCAAGTTTGGAGAATCCAAAGGGGGGGAATGGAGACTTGACGGTGAAACCCCGCCGATAAATGCTCATTGGGAGGGCGAGAGCTTGAAGGCACCCAACGGAGCCCAGATGAAGTTTGAAGAATCCAGAGGGTGGGAGTGGGGCCCCACAGTGAAATCCGTATTCTGGAGCCCTAAATGAGGAACCTGTAGGGCGTGTTCGAATGCGGAGGAATCCGGAGGAATTTGGAAGAGTTCTGGGGAACCTGGGGAAGTCCGAAGGAATCCGCAGGAATCTGGAGGTTTCTTGGGGAAAATTGGAAATCTGGAGCATTCCGAAGGAATCCTGACGTGCCTACAGAAACCTTCGAACGTTCTGGGAATTGGAGGAGACCTCAGGAACCTGCATGAGTCGAAAGGACGTTGGAGGAATTTGGCATCTTGAGGAGCCCCAAAAATTGAAATGAATCCGGTGGCATGTGCAGGAACCCTGAGGAGCCCAAAGAAACCCAGAATGATCCCCAAGAGAGTTCAGTAACCCCGCGGAAACTGAAATACTTTCAAAGCGTCCAAAGGGATCCAAACGAAGTTGAGGGAATCCAGCGGAAGGGGGGGCCTGAATGGCCATTTGAGAGTGGGGCCCCACTGTCAAATTCACATTTGGGGGCCCGGGCGGGGGGGGGCCCGAATGGCGATTTGACAGTGCGGCCCCGATGTCAAATTGGCATTCGGGGGGGGGGCGAGCGGGCTGGAAGGGGGATCCCAAGTGTGCCATTTGACGGTGGGCCGCCCATTGTCAAACTGGCAACCTGGGGGACCAAGCTAGAGCGGCGGGAAACGAGCCCCGCACGCCAAATTGACAGTGGGGGCGCCGCTGTCAGGGGTGACATCGGGAAACCCGGCTCCCCATTTGACAGTGGAATATCCCTTACACCCCACTGTCACATGGACATTCGGGGGTGGTTTCGTCGATTGGCCCTTTGACAGTGGGCCACCCACTGTCAAACGATGAAACATCGCTCGAGCGACTGTAAATTTTCAGTTTGGGGATCCACTGGGGGGGATATATGATATATTGGGGTCCACTGGGTGGGATACATGATATATGGGGGGAACATCTCACACGCCTAGAGACCCACAAGGGGTCGGCGGATTCTCTGGCCACAACGCCAGGCAAGGATTTTCTGAAGTTCCGCTTCAGCCCGTGCGCGGCCAGCGATGGTTTCCGCGGTCGGGGTGAGGATGGCTTTTCTTGCCCATGTCATCGCAACCGAACGCTTGCTCCCCAAACCCGAAAAATGGCACAGGACGAGGCCATCAGCCACACCGCACCGGCCCGCTCATGCACTGGAGCGCTTGGTGTACAACCCGGGCCGGCCGACGCCAGGACCGTACGCCTGTACACGAACAACCCCTTGAAGTCTGGCGGCGTCCTGTCGAAGATCGTGAAGGACAGGGGCCCCCTCGAGACGAGCCAGCGCAGGGGGGGGGAGCCGGCTGGCTGGTAGCCGCATCCCTGAGATCCGACGCCGCGAAACAGTTGCGCCATCGCGTGAAATCACCACCAGAACCCTTGACCATGATTTCCTGCGGCGTTTCACGAGCCGACTCGATCCGTGAGGGTCCTGGGGCCCGACACAGGGCGAAATCCATGCACGTGGAGAAGATCGATGCCAGGATCTCAGTGATGACGATCCTCCTCATCCTGCTGTTCCTCGTCGTCACGCCCCTCCGTAACCGCTCTGGCTCGAGATTGGCCGCCCCTCTCTCTCTTCTGCTTCCCGAGGGAGAGGGCGCCGTGGAGTCCGGTGAGCCCGCCGGGATCCGGGCGCGTGCGGGCCGCCATGCCGCCGCCCGACAAGGGCAAGGGCAAGGTCGGGCGGGCGCAGGGCTGGGACAGATCGTTCCAGGGCGTCCTGGCACGATGTTAGGAGTTTGCAGGAGTTTGCTTGAGTTCAACACGTCTTTGGTTTTGTCTTTGTTTTGTCTTTGGATGTCTTTGTTTTGTCTTTGGATGTCTTTGGATGTCTTTGTTTTGTCTTCGGATGTCTCTGGATGTCTCTGGAGTTCTGGAGGGCTCTGGAACGTCCGCGGCGCCCGATGCATCGTCCAGGGCTGCCAGGTCTGAGACATCCCCGGCTCATCCCGATTCGACGCTGTCTCGATCTTGGCTTCGCCTCACAAGGGAGAGAAGATCAATGCGCAGTTCTCCTCCATGCCCGCCACGGAGTGCATCGGCGCTGGCCGCCTGGACGGCTGGTTCTCCACGCCCGCGTACATATGCGAGGGCAGGGGTTGGGGGCACATCAGGTCTTATTGTTTCGAGGGCGACCTGTTCTTTCACCTGCAGCGGAGCCCTCTGCTTCGCATGGTGAACTTCCAGAAGAAGGACCCAGTCACCTTTGAGGTAATAGAATTCTAGACGCTTCGCGTACCCACACCAGGTTCCTTGCGCAAGGGGCAATAGCGCTATCAGTGACGCTTAGCGGAGGTGGGCTGTTTGCTAGTTGAAAACTACTCCAATTCCCGTCAAGTTTGATCGTCAAGGTCACTCTTGCAATTTTTACGCGGGCTCCGGCCCATTCAAAAATTATACAGCACCCACACCAGGCCATCCAGAAGCAGTGCCCAGGCGATCTACAATGACCGGGGAAGCGTAGGAGAGCACGCAGTGGAACAAAGAGGGGGGCAGCCGTGGAGCCGAAGTTTCAAGCCAGCCTGAGCAGCCCCAGCAGTGAACCGCAGGCCTGCGTGGCCCTGTCGAGTGCGGAGGCGGAGGAGGAAGGACGGAGAGGCTTGCACTGCGCTATAGCGGCGGAGGAGGAGGAAGGATGGAAGAGGCGGAGGAAGGCGGAGGCGGAGGAGGAAGGAGGAGGAGGAGGAAGGCGGAGCGGAGGCGGAGGAGGAGGAGGAGGAAGGATGGAAAGGCTTGCACGGCGCACCCGGCTCCGCGAGCCGCTCACCCGAGGTGAACGCTCCAAAACGCCGACGGGTGCACACGAGCGACTCGCCACCGCAGTCCAGCACAACGCAGCCGTGCCCAGGGTCCCCGCGGGGCCTGCGGGCGGACGCGAAGGTGCCGGGGCGGCCTCGGGCGCCGAGCGGGGGCCTCGCAGACGTGGCGAACAGTGCCAGCACGTGCGAGGCGGCCTGCCGACCGGCGTCCACCCGCTCGGCGTCGGTGGCGGGCCGGCGGACCAGCTGGACTCCATCGGGACAGGTGCGAGGCCCGAGGGGCAGTGTCTCGGCTGCGGGCTTGACCCTCGAGGCAGCAGCAAGGTGCTCCACGCGCCGGTGTCAGCAGCTCCAAGCCTGGCCGCCCTGTCCGCCCAGTCATCCCCCCTGCGACGATACAGCTCTTCAGCATCCGACGAAGCGTTTCGTTCCCGGTGGGCAGCAAGTCTGCCCACACCTGAAACCACGCCAAGGCATCGGCCTGTAAAAGTAAACTCGCATACATTCTTCTGTTATGATACCGATCAGGTCTGGGAAGGGACCAGAGCATCCCAACATTCTCACGGCCAGGCTTTGAACGGACACTCTGAGCAGGCAAGTACACGGCCGTGAAAGTTGGAGCTCAAAACTCGGCTCTCTGAGAGGCCCATGCAGAGTGGCGAACAACTGGCCACCATCCGAGAGCTTAGCCGTTCCCCAACCAGCCCTCCAGAGCTCTTCGATTGGGGATTCCCTGCAAGAGCTATCCAGGAAAACATCTCCGTCAGAACACGCCTCTCGTCCGAGTGCACGGCGAATCTAGCAGACATGTCCCCCCTCTGAGAGGGCTGATCTTCACCGTCTGAAGCTTTACACACTTGCGCCGATAAAGCTTTGTCCTGTCCGAGGGAACTGAGCCACCAGTCGCCAGTATGAGGGAACATACCTGTCTTGAGCTGCAACTTTGCCAACTTAGAAGAAAGAAGAGGAGGAGGAGGACGAGGAGAAGGACGACGACGACGAGGACGAGGACGATGAGGAGGAGGAGGAGGAGGAGGACGAGGAGGAGAAGAAGAAGGAGGAGCAATGAGGAAGAGGAGGCGCGCGAGCAGAAGGAATATCCGTCGTTCTGGGAGCCGATTGGGGGTCTCTTGAAGCCACATGCGTGCCGTCCTGGGACTATTTTGGGAGCCTTTGGGGCTTTCTTTGGCCCCAAGGCCTTGGGGGCTCTCTTTGGACCATCTAGGAGGACATCGATCCAAGAGGGTGTCGCCCCCCTTGGGCCCGAAAAGTCGCCTCCAGGAGCCTCATGGAGGCGCTCTTGAGCGCCCAAATGGGGCCCTATTGGGCTCCTTGTGGGAGCCTTTGGGGCCCTCTTTGGGGTCATCCTCAAGAGCATGGATCCAAGAAGAGGGGGTCCTCAATTAGGGCCGCCGCTTCTTGGGCCCATCTTCGGGCGCTCTTGGGGCGATATTGTGTTCATGTGGGGGTCCTCTTGAGGCTCTCTTAGGCCATATTAGAGCCACCTTGAGGCCTGGTAACCCCGTCGGAAGCGAAAAGGCCAGCATGCAACAAGTCGTGGGTGTTCCACCAGTTTGGGAAGGATTTGGGCAGTTTGGGGGGCATCTTTGGGAAACTCCGTGGCCACTCCGATCCGTCTTGGCGCGGAAATGGAGTCTTTTGGATGCGTTTTGGAGGCCACCTTGAGCAATATTGAGCCATCTTGAAGGTAATCTTGAACTTTATCAGGCCATCTTGGAGCCATGTTGGCACATCTTGGATGCTCTAACCCGTCGCCGCCCACCCACCCATCCAGACCGAGGGGGAGGGACTTCCCCAATAGGGCGGATGAACCCCTAGTCGCTGCAAGGGTACGGCACTGGAGTGTGGGGGGGGGAGCCCACATTCCAAGACGACTTCAAGAGGCCTCCTAAAGGGTTCGAGAAGCCTTCAAGATGGCCCAAGACCAATACGCCCAAGATGTCCTCAAGATGGCCCAAGAGCAAGACGCCCCAACAGAGCTCCAAGAGGACCCCCCAGGAGAGCCCACATCGTCCCATTCCCATGAGAGAACTTCCATTTTCAGCATCTTGATCGCTTTCTCATTCTTCACAGCGTCCCAGATGGCCGAAGAGAGGCTCAGGAAGGACCCCTGGAGGAGCCCGAGCCGGCCCCGAGGCCTCCAAGGCACCGCCCAAAACGGGCCCAAGATGGCCCCAAGAAGTCTTTGTGCCCTTCCATATTTCGAAAGGGCCAACGAGGCTCACCCAGGACGGCCCCCGAGGTCCCCAGGACGCCCCCAAAACGTGCCCAAGAGGGCCCCAAGAGGGCCCCGGACCCTTCCGCGCTGCCGTGCTGGTCTGGCGTGCGGGCCTGCCGTGTTGGCCTGCCGTGCTTGCCTGGTCCGCCGTTCCGGTCTGCCGTGCTGATTTCCCTTGCTGGTCTGCCGTGCTGGCCTGGTCCGTCGTGCTGGTCTGCCGCGCTGGTCTCCCGTGCTGGGCTGCCGTGCTGGTCTGGAGTTTTGGCCTCCTGTGCTCTCTCTCTCCCCTGTTTCTCGATCTCTCTCTCTCTCTCTCTCTCTCTCTCTCCTTGTCTACCTTGCTCCCGCTGTGTCTCGGCCTTTTGCCCCGCTCATTCGAACATCATTGATCGCGCGAGGAGGGGAGTCTTGCAGCGCGGGTCAGGGGGAGGGATGAACCCGTCTACGAAGGGTTAAGGACAGGGCTGGCTTAGGAAACACTCTAAACCACCTCTGGCCAGAGGGCTGGTAGGATTCAACGGGCAGGTCGAGGCGGTGAAGCTGTTGCTGCCCAGACAGGTGAGCGAGCAGGAGAATGGGGTCAAGAATGCCCACGGCGAGGACATTGGCAAGCCGGAGCCCCGTGACCTGGCGGGGCAGAGAATAGAGGGCCAAGTGAAGTCGCAGTGGCAGCTTGTCGAGAAGCAGAGCTGGGGCTTCTGTGGCTCCGAACACTTCCACGGGCAGGTGTTCTGGCACATCACCGACAGCCCCGGCATGGAAGGCATCAAGTTCGAGAGAGAGGACCTCGTCGAGTTCGAGATCACCGTCGACCCCTCGCGGGGCAACGAAGTACGGGCCAAGAAGATGGTGTACCTTGGGCAAGGCAGACGAACCTACCTCGGTCCGAAGAAGCTGTCAGAGAAGAAACTGGCCAAGAAGGAGCAGTGGAAGAGGAACTGGAGGAAGGGCCACCCGCCAGACTGGGAATGCAAGAACTGCCTGTTCAGCAACTTCGGTCGCAACAAGATCTGCAGGAAGTGTGAGATCGGCACCAGGCCTCCGCGGGAGGAGTGGCCCGAAGAGGAGGACGACTACGACGACAACACCGCCGCGCACATGCAGCCTGGCGATTGGAGGTGCCCCAAGTGCAACGAGATTCAGTTCTCCAACCGCGACAGGTGTCGCAAGTGCGGCACGGACAGACCACCCTTCCAGGACCTGGCCGCCATGCTGAACGTGCCGCCTGGCACCTACAAGGCCCCCCCGGACCTGCAGAAGGACGGCGACTCTTCCCACCGGGCGAGCGCTCCCCCTCCGGCGCCACACAACCCGCAGCAGCAGAAGGTGGCGGAGACGCTGTTCGGCAAGTTCTCGCCCGACGAAAACGTCCAGGCGCAGCTCGCTCTCTGCATGGGCGCGTTCAACGATCTCGTGAAGGCCACGGTGCCCGACGGGGACAACAGCGCCATCATCGAGAAGGTGCAGAGCCTGGTGGCCGAAGTGAACGGGGTGCTCAGCGAGGACAAGAGTGCCAAGCACGCCTTCGCGATGCAGATCGCCAAACACCCCTGGTTCAGTGAGAACGGGCAGGAGGTGCGGTACAAGCCGAGCCAGAACCTCATCGAGGTCTCCAGAAGCTTGAAAGGCAAGGGCAAGGGCAAGGGGATGGACAAGGTCGGGTCGGACGCAATGGAATGGGGGGACAGGGAAAGGGAAAGGGGGGCGGGGGATCGAAATCTGCTGCGTGCAGCTGGCTGCGGCCCCCCCGCCGCAGCTTCCTCGACGCACCGGCGCCGGGCGGCGCTGGGAGAGCCAGCCGCGTGAGCTGACTCGCGGGCCCCTCTTCTGCTATCCCCCCCCCCCTGGCCGTGCGACCCGGGCGCAGGGCAAGGGCGACGGCAAGGGCGACCACGAGCGCCCGCCGCCTCCTCCGCCTGGGCCGGGCCACGTGATCCGCGGGTCGATCTTCGGCGCCGCGGCGGCGGCGGCGGCGGCGGCCGGGCGCGGCGAATCGAGCGGCGGCGGCGGCGGCGGCGGCGGCAGCTGGGCACCGAGCTGGTCCAGGTCGGGGCCGTACTGAGCCGCGCCCCCCTCCCCCGCGCGGTCTCCTCGCTCCTCTCGCGCATGGGCGCCCCCTCCCTCAGAGAAGCCCCGGAAGGTGGCAGAAGCCCCACCCTGCCAGGTCGAGGAGAAGACTGCCCGCTTTGGTCTCTCGAAGGGGTGCTGAGGGCGCAATCCGAAAAACGAGAAGGGGCAGAAGCATGGGTTCTCGGAGCTCCACGCGGACCGCCACGACATTCTGTTTATGTGTTGGTTCCTCTAGTTGGCAATGTTTGCGGGCGCCCGCCGGGTCGGGTCCCAGGTCGTGTTCACACTACAGGGTGTTTTGCTACAGTCTGTTCATCCCCGCCAGGAATAAGCAGCATGAATTTATGTGTTTGGAGCTCCGTACGAATTTCTTGGATCGGGGCGGGGCCCGGCCTGCCTCGCGAGCTCGCGCGCCAGGAAGGGGGGCGCCGATCCACCAAATCCGGTCGGACCTCCAGCAGCTTATGTTCACTCTGTTTTTCTGTTTCTACCCTCGCGCGACCTCATCCTTCTCCTCCTCTCCCTCTGCATCCGAGCGGAGGGCGCGGGCGTGACGTGTTATTAGCGCGGCCTCGGCAGCAACAACAATGATACCCTCCTCTGCCTCTGCCCCGCCTCCTCCTCCTCCTCCTCCTCCTCCTCCTCTTCCTCCTCCTCCTCCTCCCACTCGTTCTTTATCCTCAACAGGCGCCGCTCCCGCGAGCGGCGGCATCCTCTCCTCTCCTATGGGGCCACCTCTCAGATTGTCCCTGTGGACCCTGCCCCCCAGGCCGCCCCAGACCCAGCCAGCCAGGGCTGGCACACCGCTCGGCAGCTTCGCCGATGATGAGGAGCCTCCCCACACATCGACTTGGCACAGCGTTTCTTCAACAGCTTCCAGTAGGCTGGCCCAGTTTCCTCGACCCCCTGCGCGCGCTCCGGGTTTGGCGAGTAGGGCTGGCCCAACGTTTGCGCGAGATATTGCCTTCAAGCTGGCACACCTTTCTCACGCGATGATTGATCTTTTTCGTATCCCTGGTTGTGCACCGACAGTGCGTCCCAAAGGAGACGCTTTGGCGCGTGCCCCCCCCCTCCGGCTGGGACCGCTTCGCATCGGGGGAGCATATTTTGTTTCCGCCCGCATTCCGCCGGCGGAGCCGTCACCTCGTTGCTTCCGCCGCATTCCGCCAGGGAAGAGACGACGCCATCTCCTTCGGTCCCTCGAAGACGAGGCTCTCTCTGGAACGCCTCGTGCGCTGGACACGGCGATTCGCCCGTGCACTCGGCGCACCGAGGTCTCGGACCGCCTGGACTTCCCTGGCCGCTCCCCCGGGACTCACTCCCGGCAGGGCCGCCCGCGGTCCGATTCGATGCGATGCGATTCGCCCGGGCGGAGCCGCAGCTCGGATTCGATCCGAGTCGGGACGATTCGCCGACATCGGCTGGAGCCCAGGGCCGTTGAGGCACGATTTCGATTTCGATGCGATCCGGGACGAGTCGCCGACAATCCGACCCGTCACACCTGCCGTGGCGATGCGTCGGGCAGGGTCGGCTGCGGGAGCGGGCGCGCGCGTCCAGACTCCAGGCGAAGCGCGCGCGGTGGTTGGAGGGGCGCTGGCCACCAACGAACAGGGGGCCTGGCTCCCGAAGTTGCTGTCGCCGCGCTGGCTCTCGCTAGGCGCGGGGTGGCCTAGGACAAGCGGAAGAGAGAGGAGGCTGGCCGCGGATGGGGGGCTGAACGCGGGCGCGGCGCTCAGGACGTGGAGTTTTTGACGCCCGTGTGGCGGCCGGGGCTGTGGGGGTAGGAGTCGCGCTGAGAGGCCTGCCTCTGACACCAGCGGCCAAAACCAGGTCTGGGAGCGGGCGCGCATGCTTGCTTTTTGCGCCAAGGGGGCGCGTGGTGTTCCAGGGGCCCTCCAGAGGCTGTTCTGGAGCGCCCTCGAAGCGTTCCAAGACGCTCCGGGGCGCTGCATCACGTTTCCAGGCCTGGCTGCGAGGGGGGGAGGTGTAGGGGTGGGGGGGGCGAAAAGTAGGTCGCGCCAGGGAGGCTCCGCCACCTTTTCCTTCTTCTCCGCTCCGCCCTGCCCTTCTGCTTGTCCTTGTCCTGTTCCCTTTCTTCCCATCCTAATCCTCATCCTCCGTAGGTTATAGTTCTATTTGCGATCAATCTGCGTGGTGCCCTCTATCTATGTGGTGCAATCGATTCTGAAGGATTTGGAGTTGTCAACGCCACTGCTCGCGCAATCACCCCACCCACCCACCCACAATTTGGTTTGCAGAACCCGTGCGGCGGCGATTGCGATGAGTGTTTGGAGCTGGCTGGTGCATCTCTGCGGCCGCGCTACCCCGCGCATGCTCGCGTGCGCAGTGGCCAGATGGTTTTTGCGCTACCGACGCGGCCGCGGTGGTATTGACCGCCTGGCACTTCCCAGCGGGCACTACAGTGCGAGTCGGCGACTTGGGCTGGCGCGCGCCGACAAAGGTAGACGCGATGATGATGATAGCGTTGCTGGCGACGGTGATGACAACGACGACGGCAAGGCCAGTGACGGCGCCGATGCTGATCACGCCGACGACGATGACGGCGCCATCGCGTCGGTGTTCGACACGCGCGCGCGGCCGACCGACGCGCGAGAGTGGCCCGCGCTATTTTTGTTTAAAAGCACGGATCGTACCTCTCCAGCACGCGCATGAGGGCGTTCGAATAATTTCGACGCGCGGCGCGAGGGGCCCGCTTGGCCGAATTTGTTGAAAATGTTGAGAACCATTGCTTTCTTTTGGGTTCGAAGGAGCGCGAACGCAGGCATTTTTGAAAACTGCGAGCGCAGCGCACCACCACTTTTCGGTATGTGCTCGGGCCACTCCATTCTGAAATCCGTACAGAACCTGAATTGTTTGAAGGATGTCGGCATGCGCGCGCGACGACGCACGCGCGTGCACTTCGTCAAACTTTTTGCACGGATGTCTTGCGACAGCGCGCGCGCCAGGGCGTTCGAGCGATTCCGACACGCGCGCGCAAGGCCCGTTAGGTAGCAAGTTCTGAACATGTTGGAAAACCGATGGTTTTCTTCAAAATTCGCAATGGCCCGAGCGCAAGCTTTGTGTTAAAAGGCGCGTTGCGAAATCATGCGTCTTCATGCGTTGTCGGGGCATTCGCTTGTAAAATCCGTACGAAACCAAGATTTTTGAGAGATGTCGGCACGCGCGCGCGCGACGGCGCGCGCGTGTGCATTTCGTTGCTTTGAAAGGGAGTTGCGAAAACTGCTGATCTTTTTTGGGGAGGATTCCGGCCTGCCTGGGATGGTACGAGTACATTTTCAAGAATCATACGATGTAAATTGCAATATGAAAAAGGCGAACCGTTAATTCCAGGGGTGGGAGAGATCTTTTTCATTTTTTAGAAACGGCAATCGACGCGGTGCACTCTACGCGGCGCGGTTCACCCTGCCGAACATGAAGTTGTCAACCCCACCGCTCGCCCAAACATCCCACCCGCCCAGCCAGAACTTGGTCGGTAAAGCCCGCGCGGCGGCGATTGCGATGACTGCTTGGCGCTGGTTGGCACATCGCTGCGGCCGCGCTATCGCAGGCTCGCGCGCAGTGCGGCCGGGTAGTCTGGAGCGACCGGCACGGCCGCGGCGGCGCTGACCGCTGGGGGCTTCCGAGCGCGCCTCGCTGGCCGCGCTGGCGCGCGGGCGCTTCAGTACGAGTCGGTGGCTCGGGCGGGCGAGGCATTATGGTGACGTCGTCAACGGTAGGCGCGGTAGGCGCGATGGTTGATAGCAGCCATGATTCTGACGATGATGACGAGGCCGACGGCGGGGCCAATGACGGCGCCGGTGCTAATCACGCCGATGACGATGATGGCGTCCGCGCGCGGGCGATGAATGTTCCGGGAGGATTTCGACGCGCGCGCCGCCGACGCGCCCTTGCGGCCCGCATGGTATTATTTGACAGGGATCGCGCCACCCCCCACCCCCCAGCACGCGCGCAAGGGCGTTCGAATGATTTCGACACGCGCGCGCGGGAGGCCCGTTGTCTCGCATTTGATGGAATCGTTGGGCAACCTTTTGGCGTTCTCGAGAATTCGCAAGAGCACGCGCGCAAGCTCTCCCATAACTTCAACTTGCAAAAGCCATAGTCTGTTGCATATGTTCTCGGGAACCTCGACTTTGAAATCCTTGCGAAACTGATTGTTTGTGAACTCCGTTTTAGAACAGAGTTCACATCTGTTCGCAATGAATTGTTACTTCCAATGCTCTCGCAATCATCTCGCCCGGCCGCAACTAACGCCCATGCGACGGCGGCCCCGATGACTGCTTGGTGCTGACTGGCGCATCTTCGCGGCCGCGCTAGCGCGCGCAGGGCGGCCAGGCATTATGTCGCGACCGGCGCGGCCGCGGTGGCGTTGACCGCCGGGGACTGCCCAACGCACTTCGCAGGCCGCGCTGGCGCGCGGGCACCTCAGCGAGAGTCGGCGGCTCGGGCGGGCGCGGGATCACGGCGTCGTCGACAACGGCAGGCGCGATGGATGATACTAGGCATGATGGTGACGATGATGACGGCGATGACGAAAGCGGGGCCGATGACGGCGCCGATGCTGATCACGCCGATGACGATGAAGGTGTCGGAAGGATTTCGACGCGCGCGCGCGCGGCCGACGGGCGCGAGTCTCCCGCGCGGTGTTAATTTTTTGGCAGGGATGGCGCCGCCCCCCGGGGCATTCGAACCATTTCGACACGCGCTCGCGAGAAGCCCGTTCGGTCGCATTGATGAGAAGGTTGAAAGCCCTTTCGCTTCCTTCGAGAATTCGCAAGAGCGCGCGCAGACTTTGGTTTTAGGGGAAAAAACCTCGTTCAGCGTTTGTTTAAATATGTTTCGGGAAACTCGATCTTGGAATCCGCGCGCAACCGATGGTTAGAATTCCAGCATGTGCGCGACGACGCGCGTGCGTGGACTTGGCGCGAATCTGTTGCAAGGGATTCTCTGAAATTTGTGATTCTATACGACTGCGCGCGCATAGCATTATTTGACAGGGAGGGGGGGCGGGGGGGGCGGCTTGGCTGGGATAGCGCGAGCTTATTTGCAATATGAAAAGACGAGGCAAAACCGCGTGTAAATTGTACGATCCATCCTCGGGGAGGAGAACCAGGGGGGGTAGATCCTGATTATTTGTTGGACAAAGAATCGACGTGGTGCAGTCCATTTGGTGCAATGAGTTGCCATCGCATTGTTCGCGCAATCGCCCCACCCACCCAACCGCAATTTGGCTTGCAAAAGTGATGCGGCGGCGGTTCCAGCGACTGCTCGGCGCTGGCTGGCGCATCGCTTCGGCGGCGCTAGCGCGCGCAGGCTCGCTCGCAGAGCGGCGAGCAACTGCGTAAGAAAGGTTTTCTCCTCGCGCCGCCACGCGCGAACGGTGCGCCGGGACTCTCCGCGCCCATGCCGCCCGCCATTCTGTAGTGCAGTCGTGCTACATGTGGGCCGCAATGGATGTTCACGACACCGCGCCATTACTTCGGTTTGCAAACGCCCACCACGACGCGCGTCAATTGACCATTCAACGTCGAGGAAAACGCAACGCTTACCTTTGCACGTGGAGACCGC